GCCTGCGAGGCTGCGGCAGCAGGACGGGCAGGACGCTGTGACGGGAGCTGTTTGTTGTCAGCAACCATTAAAGCACTGGAGCGATGAAACCTTGGCCTCTCGTTGAGTGTCTTTTGTTGTCTTGATGTTGAGTTTGTCTTGTCGCTGTCGTGTTGCGCCTCCTTAGCGTTCTCTCTTCTTTCCCCTTTTTGTTCTCTTCCAGACCCTCCTCTCTCGATAACCCACTGCAGGAAGAGTTTGGAGTCCCCGTAAGTATCTGTCTTGGATGTGGCACCAGGCTGTGGGTCTTCAAAGCGCCTCCTTCCTGCAGTTGTTACAAGGCTCAAATGGAAATGTCTGACCTTGTTTGGTTGCTTCTGACGAGTTGTTTTGGGTGTTCTGGAACAGAAAGCAGCAGGGACAAACGCAGCAAACTTTAAGTGAGGAGACGAACCTGTTGCATCTGTGGACGTTGATCCAAGCTGGAGTTGGCTGGTGGAACTCAATTACACGCCCAGCTTGAAGGGGCTCCTTAGGAGAAGGGCTAGCCTGCTGCATATGTGCAAGCTCGGTGTAGTTTTTCAGTCACTCTCTGTTGGCGCTGATTTTTCCTGGGAAATTCGGAGAACCCTACGTGCATATCTTTCTTTTCCCGTGAAGAGTGCCCCACTGAAGTCTTTTGCCACATGTGCCCCAAGGTGGTGGATCATGGTGCTTGCGGAGCCCATCGAAAGTATGTGTAGCTGCTAATCAGCGGGAGCACCTTCCCGATGTGAGCATGAGAGGCTGAAACGTGGGCGCCTCATGCTTTGGCTCCCGGACCGTTGAAAAATGTCCCAGTGCTGGTGGATCTTAATCTTGCTTTTTTTTGGTTTGTCCACTGTGCTGAGATAACTGTGCCTGCACTGTGTCTGTTGTCTCTGGTACCTTTTGCCATGTGACCCTGTTTGTCTGAAGCTGTCTGTGTAGGCATGAGTGAACTATTCTGACGCTCTCTGCCTTTTGAGGCTCTTGGCCTTAAGTTTGGGTGTTGAGAGCAGGCGAGAATTTGGTTTGGAATGATCCGTCAGCATCTCCAAGTGAGCTTCTGAGTTATGCAGGAGGGGATGTTTGTGTGATGTCCCTCTTCTCGGGGGCTTTCACGGGTGTGGATAGCTCAGGTGAACGTAGGAAACTTTTGAAGGAGTTGCAAGTGAGCTCTGGATCTTTCATCCTGCTGAGGCCGCAGAGCTTGCTGCGAGGCGTTGGTGTGAGCTGCCTGCCCTGGGGAGGACGCTGAGTGTGCTGAGCTGGGTTCCTGAGGAGCGGGGATGGTGTGCGCCGCTGCTGGTCCTCTGGCCTGGGCTGCAGCTGGGCAAGGCTCTGCCGTCCTGGTTAGCCCCACCAGATTTCTCCCAGAAACTCTCCCAATTTCTCTTTTGGAGAGCGGGTAGCACTTCGTTTTCCAGAGCCCGCTGGCACTTCTGAGCGAGAAGACCTCTTTCCCCTCCGGGTGACCGTCCCCTCTCGGTTTTTCTCCCCTGTGGTCCAGGTTGTCTTCCGGCAAGGTGAGTCCCGAGAGCATCCGCACGCTCCGTCCCCCCTCGGAGTCCTCCGACGACCAGGGCCCGCAGGCCAAGCGGATGCTGAGCCCCACCAAGGAGAAGGAGCTCTCCCTTTACAAGAAGACCAAGCGAGCCATCAGCAGCAAGAAGTACAGCGTCTCCAAGGCGGAGGCCGAAGCCGAGGCCACCACCCCCATCGAGCTCATCAGCCGCGGGCCGGACGGCCGCTTCGTCATGGACCCGGCGGAGATGGAGCCATCCCTGAAGACGCGGCGCATCGAGGGCTTCCCCTTCGTGGAGGAGACGGACATGTACCCCGAGTTCAGGCAGTCGGACGAGGAGAACGATGACCCCGTCGTCCCCGCCTCCGTCACCGCTCTGAAAGCCCAGCTCACCCCGCTGTCCTCCAGCCAGGAGTCCTACCTTCAGCCACCAGCATACAGCCCCC